ATACCTGTGCCAGCCATACTTGTCCCTGTCATATGCATACTGAGTCTTTATGTATATATGTACACATACATATGTGTATATATATGTTCACACTTAGCCTTTATTTTAAGCATAAGTAGACATATAAATATATGTAAATATAATTCTATATAAATGTAATATACAGTCATGTGCTGCTTAACAACAGGGCTGTGTTCTAAGAATTAGAATTAGGCAATTTCATCCTTGTGTGAACATCCCAGAGTGCACTTACACAAACCTAGATGGCACCTGGGCTACACGTCTAGCCTACTGCTCCTAGGCTACAGCCCTGCATTGCATGTTACTGTACGAATACTGTAGGCAACTATAACACAGTGGTATTTATGCATCTAAACATAGAAAAGGCATAAAGGTAAAACGGCACCCCTGTGTAGGGCACTGGCGTGAGTGGAGCTGGCAGGCCTGGAGCTGTTCTGGGTGAGTCGGTGAGTGCGGGTGGGTGAGTAAGAAGGCGAGGACGTCAGTGCCAACTCCTGCAGACTTTACAAACACTGTACACTTAGGCTGCGCTCCATTCATACAGCCCGGGATTCAGTCAAACACAGGAGAAGTGTGCGATCAAGAGAAGCGTAACCATGAGATGTAGGAGGCTGCTGCCAGAGTAACACCACACACTGCTCCACAGCAAACTTTTCTAAGTAGAGACTACACCGTAAAATAACGATTAAGAACTATTAGGATAGTAAACGCATAAGCCACTAACAGTCGTGTATTTCATCATCAGTGTATGTCCCGTACGTAAGTATATGCGCTGTACTTGCACGCGACGGGCAGAGCAGTGGGGCTTCTCACACCAGCCTCACCACAAACGCGAGCGATGTGTTGTTACAACGTCACACGGCTAGGACATCGCTAGAGGTAAGAATTTTTCAGCTCCATTATGATCTTATGGGGCCACCATCACATACGTGGGCCATCACTGACCAAAACAGCATTATGCAGCACATGACTATATACATTTAATATATATCATGTGTGTATATTACATATAAACACAATATACGTAAATATATACATGTATATGTAATGACTTCAAATATAAAGAAATACTGTCTTCTCTAAAATCCAAACATTCAAAAGAAGAGGTGTAATACTAAAATTTGTTTTACTGTGCTACAAATTACCTCCCATTTATTTCTCCTTTATATTATAGTTAGAGCATTCAGTTGGCTTTTGTGGCTACAGGCTGCATATCTTATCTATGAATTTCATTTCAAAATAGTAATGGAATCATATCAATGTATTTGTGGTAAAGGGAGCGCTGGGCCGTACAGAGTTAAGAACTGGCCGGAGGTCTTGCGACTGCACATGCGGCCTCAAGCCAGCAGTGGTGGCACCGCCTGGGGTCCCATCAGCCATGCACTCTCAGGCCTGCCCAGAGGTGCTGAGTCAGGGTCTTACTGAGCAGGTTCCCAGGGGGACGGCCTGCTCCCGAGGGCTGGGCTGCGCTCCGAGGGGCCTGGGTGGGGCTAACAGCGGCCTCAGCACAGTCCTCAGTCTAGGATCTCACCCTTTGGCAGGGACCTAGGGCCTGGCTCCTAAAGCTCCACGGGCAGGACCTACCTGCCCGGGTGACAGGATGCCAGCCTGCTGGCAGCAGCTGCACTGACCAAAGCGGAGCTCCCAAGAAGCCGCAGGAGCCACAAAGCGCTTTTTGGGAAGGACCTCAGAGACAACCGCCACGGAAGGCCGAAGGAAAATTCCTTGGCCAGGTGAGGCCCCAGACGGCTGAGGCTTTCCTGAATGGAAATGCGGGAGGCAGGGAGCAGCTGGGCTCAGGCTTGGGCACTTCCTACTTCAACACTTTATGGAGGTTGAAGGGAGTCTTAACGTACGGTAATGGGAGAAGATATGACTTTGGGTGGTGGGCACACAGAGCAATATACAGATCTTGTAACAGAAACCCACACCTGAAACCTATATGTTCATATTAACCATTGTCACCCCAATAAATCTAATAAAGTGTTAAAAAAAAAGACTTTATCAAGCTCCTTGGCTGTGCTGTCAAATGGGAGCCATCCGCCGGCACCGGGACTGGTGGCGAGGGTTACATGGACGTGGAGGAGCGGGGTCTGGGGGCAGCACATGCCCGGGCGAGGCTCTCGGCAGCTCGGGAGGGCTTTGGGACGCTGTGCACAGCCGCGCTGCGGCCACCTGGAGCCCGCTCGGGGGACGGACGCGGGCCGCCCGAGCTGGGTGCTCTGCCGGGTCTGCCCTTGCCGCTGGCAGGGAGGGGCGTCTCCCGCGCTGGCAGCTGCCTTGCTGTCTCCTCACCCTGCCGCAGACTAACGCCCGGTACTCACAGCAGGCTCTCATCACGCCCGGGGCCCAGGAGGAGGCGTCTTTAAAGCTAAGCAGACTTGGAGGCCACCTCTGTGGCTTCCAAACTCCCACAGCTGGCAGCCAAGGGTGTCCCGCATTCGTTGAGCCTGTCATGAGCTGCATTCCCAGGAGAAAGGGTGAGATGCTTGCCCGGCGGCACACCGTCCTCCTGAAGGGCAGGCGTGCGACGCGGGCCGCCAGCTCCCAGGAGGAGCCAAGGGTGTGGAGCGGGTGGGAAGCTCGGGGACTGCTGGTGAGGTGGGCAGATGCCACGGAGGAAGGTTCTGGGAGCACAGGCCAGTCACGCGTGGGTCTGGCTCCAGGCACTGCCCTGTGGGCTCTGGTTGGCAGGACCAGAGTGACAGCAGAGGACCTGCAGGAGGGGAGGGGGGGGGGACACGTGCTCCTGGTCCCACCCCGCGGCCTCCTGGTTGGGTGTTGCCCGAGTCCCTCCTCTAAGGCTCCTGCTGGTGCCACTTCTCCCACAGCCACAGTTATTACAGTTCCAGGAACCTCTCCTCCCCTTGTGCCATAAGGTCTGGGGTAGAAACAGCTTCCCACAGGCGCTGGTCCTTGCTGCCTGCCCCGCCCCCCTCCTGTCCCCTTAGCCCTGCCTGCAGCTCTGNCATCCGCCGGCACCGGGACTGGTGGCGAGGGTTACATGGACGTGGAGGAGCGGGGTCTGGGGGCAGCACATGCCCGGGCGAGGCTCTCGGCAGCTCGGGAGGGCTTTGGGACGCTGTGCACAGCCGCGCTGCGGCCACCTGGAGCCCGCTCGGGGGACGGACGCGGGCCGCCCGAGCTGGGTGCTCTGCCGGGTCTGCCCTTGCCGCTGGCAGGGAGGGGCGTCTCCCGCGCTGGCAGCTGCCTTGCTGTCTCCTCACCCTGCCGCAGACTAACGCCCGGTACTCACAGCAGGCTCTCATCACGCCCGGGGCCCAGGAGGAGGCGTCTTTAAAGCTAAGCAGACTTGGAGGCCACCTCTGTGGCTTCCAAACTCCCACAGCTGGCAGCCAAGGGTGTCCGGCATTCGTTGAGCCTGTCATGAGCTGCATTCCCAGGAGAAAGGGTGAGATGCTTGCCCGGCGGCACACCGTCCTCCTGAAGGGCAGGCGTGCGACGCGGGCCGCCAGCTCCCAGGAGGAGCCAAGGGTGTGGAGCGGGTGGGAAGCTCGGGGACTGCTGGTGAGGTGGGCAGATGCCACGGAGGAAGGTTCTGGGAGCACAGGCCAGTCACGCGTGGGTCTGGCTCCAGGCACTGCCCTGTGGGCTCTGGTTGGCAGGACCAGAGTGACAGCAGAGGACCTGCAGGAGGGGAGGGGGGGGGGACACGTGCTCCTGGTCCCACCCCGCGGCCTCCTGGTTGGGTGTTGCCCGAGTCCCTCCTCTAAGGCTCCTGCTGGTGCCACTTCTCCCACAGCCACAGTTATTACAGTTCCAGGAACCTCTCCTCCCCTTGTGCCATAAGGTCTGGGGTAGAAACAGCTTCCCACAGGCGCTGGTCCTTGCTGCCTGCCCCGCCCCCCTCCTGTCCCCTTAGCCCTGCCTGCAGCTCTGAGGACAGGCCCCTCTGAAACTGCTCGGTTTCCCCGTTTGAGTCCCCTTAAGCCATGGCCACCAAATCTAACACTTCACTCTACGACCTGAGACTAACAGTAATTAAGTTTAACTGTCACTATGAACACNCCCACTTTACGACCTCAGCCTAACAGTAATTAAGTTTAACTGTTGCTATACGTCACTATGAACACAGGACACCTCCAAGGAGCCGGATGTTAAGGGCTTCTGTCTGTCTGTTTGCTGCGACTGCTTCCCCATTACCAAGATGGGGAAGGCGAGGCACAGCAGGTAAGTCGTCAGCTGGTGCGTGAAGAGGCGCCATTTGAACCAAAATGGTTTAACGTCCAAGCCCAGCTCTTACCCAGATCATCTCTGGGAGCCACGGGGTCCCCATCGGTCTCAGAAATTCTGGAGGGGCTGCAGGGAGGGCATCTCAGAAGAAACGTACAGGAGCTGGTGGCAATGCGACATCCGGCCTGGTAAGGGGAGGGCTAGAGGCAGAAAGCAGGCAGCACCCACAGGGAGATCCAGTCGCTGAGAAGAGTGGCACGAGAGGCCTGAGGACAGTCCAGGGGCACGGGGACACCGACAAGGAAAGGGGACACGCAGACTGGACGGGGGAAAGGAGGAGCCGTCTTTCTAACCGCGCCTGCCTGCCAGCCCGGCACCGGGCGCTGCACCTGTCAGACACTCCGACAACGCTGGGCGCAGGAAGCTGGCGTCCATCCGTTTCACTTCACGGTGAGGGAGCTGAAGTTCGGAGCGGTTAGGGACAGTTCCCCAAAACTCAGGCTCGAGTGGCAGAGCCCGAGTCAAACCCAGGCTCACCTGCCCCCAGGCCCCGGGAGAATGACAGAGGCGAGGGGCTTAGAACAGGCAGGGGGCTGAGAACAGGGGGGTTTAACGACGGCAGAGCCCTCGCGGCCGTCGCGGCTGCCTTAGCGGAGTGTAAGGGCTCACTGGCTCCCCTGTCGCAGGTCAACAGTCCCCGACTCCTGAGGCCTGTCAGCCAAGAGAAGCCCGCGTCCCGCCTGCGGTGCCGCACCCCCGGTCCAGGCGTGGCCGCCTGCCCTCACCTCTGGGCTTCCTCCTCCGGAGCACGGACTGCCAGGCGACCGTCAGGGTGAAGAGCAGCACGCTGAGGATCCCCAGGCAGCACAGCAGCACGGCGGACACGTACAGGTCTGCGGGGACACGCGGCGTCACGCGAGGGCCGGCGGGCACCGGGTCAAACCAACCGCCGGCGCCTCGCACAAGCCAACGCGAAACGAACCGCGCACCCAGGTGGAAAACTTTTGGAAAAAACACAGTAGGAAAACCTTTGGGATCTAGGACTAAGCAAAGAATTTTCAGTCTTGACACCAAAAGGACCACCCATGAAAGGAAAAGTTAATACATTCAATTTCAGCAAATTAAATTTTTTGGCTCTGTCAACGTCCCCATGCACAGGATGAAAAGGCGAGCTCCAGGCTGCGAGAAACTAGTTGCAAACCGTAAACTGACCAGCGTCTGGAATATAAAGAACTAAAACTCAACAGTAAAAATTAACAATCCTGTTAGAAAATGGGCAAAAATGTAGAGACATTTAACCTAAGAGAATATACAAGCGATAAATAAGCACATAAAAATAAACTAAGCACACGAGATGATGTTCGGCTTCCTTAGCCGTTAGAAAAAATGCAAATCTAAACCACAGTGAGCTATACCACACCTGTCACAAAAGCTAAAATAAAAAAGTGACAATACCAAGTGCTGGCAAGGACATAGATAAAGGGGTCAGTCAGACACTGCAGGTGAGAACATACAATGGCACAGCCGCAGTCTCCTGAAAGATGCCCGCCCGACGAGCTTCCACCCCCAGCGGCCCTCCGGGGCCCTGGGTCCGGAGAAACGAAAACCTAAGTTCCCGCGGAAACCTGCGCACGTGCTCACAGCAGCCACGGGTCAAGCGGCCACGCACGCCGAGGACGCCGCTCAGCCACAGAGGAGCACGCTGCTGGCGGGCGGGTGCCCCGGGTGAGGCTCCAGAGAATCATGCTGAGTGGAAAAACTCCCAGAAGGCTACATGCTGTACGATTTTATTTTGTATGTTTACTTTGTGCACCATTCTTTAAATGACAAAGTTACAGAAATAGAGAAGAGATTAGTGTTTGTCAGAGGTTAAGGAGGGAGCGAGAGGAAGTGGGTTTGGCCATGAGGGACCCTTGCAGTGATAGGAATGTTCTTGTCTTGGCTGTGTCAGTGTCAACATCCTGGTTCCAATATTGTGCTAGAGCTTTCCAAGATGTTACCACTGGCAGAAATTTGGTAAAGAGTACAAACCAATACAAAGGATCTATCTCTGTATTATCTCTTAGAAATACATGTTAATCTACAATTTTCTCAAAATAAATTTTAAGTTCAAATAGTTAAACCATATTCGTATATGTATTAGTGAATTTGGGCTATAACAAAACATAAGCTGGGTGGCTTAAACACAAACACATTTCTCAGACAAGCTGCTGGCAGGCCTGGTGTCTGGTGAGAGCTCTCCTCCTGGTTTAGAAACGTCCTTTCTGGGTATCCTCACATAGCAGAGGACAGAGAGACAGCGAGCAAGCTCTCGTGGGGTCTCCCCCAAAGGGGACTAATGCCACACATGAGCGTTCCAGTCTCATGACCTCATCACCCCCGAGGTTTCCACCTCTTAACACCATCACATTAGGGGACAGGATCTCAACATGAATTTGGGGGGACACAAACATTCAGCCCACAACAATATACATCCATTTCTTCAAGTCCAATGATCAACTTTATCACCAATCTGACTGCTAAAATGCTCAGGAAGTGAAAAGAAAGCCAAAAGCTTTATTTTAACCTTCTATGCAGCAACATGCTGCAGAAGGCTGGACTTGGCAAATGTTTGAACTTAGCAAAAATGTTTCTGTGCTGACTTAAATTTCTTTAGCCAACAGACATTAATCATGGCCAAGTTCAGCACCAGACACACAAAATGTGACAATGTAACAGTGAACAGGCAGAGGGCCTCTCGGCCGGAAAGCAGAGGCTGCCTGGCACCTGCAACAACAGGAATGTGTGCCCAGTTCTAGGAACAGGCAGAAAAGGGATGGAGGGGCTTCCCAGAGGACGGGAGCTCTGCTCTGAGTCTTCTTTAAAATAACACAGAAAACGCAAAAATATGGAGAGAAAATAAAAAGAGAGAGAGAAAAGAGAAACACAGTATTCAGTCTCCAACACCCTAAGTACTGCTCACAGTCAGTGTATTTATGATGTATATGTGCATATTTGTAAATAAAGATCATATCGTTTCATATCTTGCTTTTTAAATCTCATGTTCTCATTAAGCTGTCTTCAAAAAATTATTGTGGCCTAGCTGGTGTGGCTCAGTAGGCTGGGCATGGTCTAGAGCACCAGAAGGTCGCCAGCTCAGTTCCAGTCAGGGCGCACGCCCAGGCTGCAGGCTCCGGGGGGACGGTGGTGCGCAGGAGGCAGCCGATGTTTCTCTCTCTCTTCCTCCCTCTCCCTTCCTCTCTCTCTGAAATCAATTAAAAATGTATTTAAAAAACTTGATTCTCAACTTTTAAAAAAATGTGATGTTTCTCATATTAATATACGTGACTTGACATGTTATTATTGGTTATGCAAAGTGTTTCTGATATTCTTTATAGTAAATGATTCAATGATGAGCATTTATAAGTTTAAATTGTAACACATCTCTCACATTATGATCTGAAGATTAAGTTCCTCAAAGTAACATTACTTAGTCAACAGGAATTCACCTTTGGAAAGCCCTTGGGACCTGGAGAGGCAGTTAGGTAAGTGCTTCAACTTAACAAGCAAACACG